TTAATGATAAAAAAATGAAAAAAGAAAACAAATAAAAACTACAGACAAAAGTTCATTTTCTCCATCAAGATCTTCATTTCTGTGGTTCGTTATTTATTGTATCTTAAAATACAATTAGGGCACAAGACCAAAAAAGGGGAGGGGTTGAGCCTGGTCGATACTAACTATCTTATACCTAGCTAATTCGATTCACGACCCATTCACTCATTACAATTTTCACATTCACCATAAAAACTCGTCCGTCACCAATCAATCCTCCATACACCACAATACCACATCCTCTCAAGTGGGACCTATAAAACGCGCCCCATGACATAAAAATCTAATGATTATTAAATTTATACTCCAAAACTTATGGATGAATAAAATGAGAGGGGAGGGAATGAACCCCAAAACAAACTAAATATGAACACAAAGTAAACTAAATATAAATGATGTTAGTAGGGCCCGTCTATTCCTTAAAAAGGAGAGGCCGCTGTATTCTGCCCATGGGACAAAATCAAGAGGCGCTCTCGCTAAGGGAGTTAGAAAAGGAGAAAATATATACGGATATGGGTAATACTTCATTTCTGTAGTTCACTGCTAACAACAAGCAGAATTTTTTTTTCTTGATGGTGGCCATGTTGGTCGAAAATAGTCGAGGAATCAAAATTAAATAATAATAAAAACGAAAGAATATTAATATAAAAACCAATGTGTCTGAAGATTTTAATAAAGATCCACAAACTATGTGTGACTTGGCATGAGAGCACGATTGAACGGATCAGGCCTCTCCAACCCCCTTGTCAAGCTTAAGTAAACGACAAGGTGATGTTTTACCTTTCATATGTCCTCTTAATCAGGAACTACATAGCAACCAGAATCACGTCCTCAGGAGCCAAGTGTCGCCACTTACGAACAAGAGATAGCACTTTTTGAGGGGTAGTATTACCTTTCTGCTGTGGATGTGGTCAGTGTATTCGAGTCTTCGCTGAGAGGAAAAAAGTGGAACGGGAAATAAAGCAAGGGGGTAAAAATCCATTAAGATGAAAGTTAGTGAAAGAAAAAGCACAATAAAAGAACAGGGTTAAAAAAGACAGAGAACAACGATTGATGTCACATTTAAAGTTTCACATATCATAGTAGAAAGGAAAGAAGGAAGTCGAAAGAATGATCTACAAGCGAGAAGTCTGGGAGAAGAAACTGTTAGCATAGAACTTGCGGTTACAACTCTCAGTTTCAACAGTGAAATGAAAAGACATTAGTTCAAATTAAGTACTTTGCTCAAATCTGTAAAGGATTATGGCCATATAGCGTTGGAACACCGGTTCCCGTAAGATTACCGAAGTTAAGCAACATCGAACATGGTCAGTACTGAGATAAATCTCCGCTTGGGAATACCAACTGCTGTAAGCTTGGATGTGCAGGTGATATAAATTGGACTACAACAAAAAACTTGACCACATTGTCCATGATCACATAAAGTTTAAAAAACTTAACAAGAACCCGACCAACCAACTAAAATCAAAGCTTAATAATCTTATTAATGCTAATAATGCTGAACAGAACTCTTTAAAACTCCCTAAAATTGTTGGTGATTATAGACCTGGTTACATATACGGCACTATAAAAACACATAAACCTAACTATCCTCTCCGTCCTATCATATCGCAAATTCCAACTCCTGTATATCAGCTAACAAAATACATTAACCAACTTATTACTCCCCACCTTCCTAGTAAATATAGTGTTAATTCAACATTAGAAGTAATCCAAATCCTAAAAAGTGAAAAACCCGACAATGAAATCATAGCTTCACTTGATGTTGAAAACGTATTTACCAATGTCCCTGTTAGTAAAACTATTGACATAATTATAAGAAATATATACAGTAACTCATCTTTACCCCCACTTAAAATTAATCCTAATATATTAAGAAAACTACTATTAGCTTGTACTACTGAAGTCCCTTTCTTCGATCATAATAGCAATATATATATATATATATATATATTGACGACTTACGTGATGGTGTCTCCATGGGTTCAATACTGGGTCCGACATTTAGCAATTTCTACATATCGAACCTTGAAAATAAGGTATTTACAGATTTTAAAAAACCATCAATCTACCTAAGATGCGTTGATGATATTCTTATGTTAGTTAAAAATACAGATGAAATACTTCAACTTCAAAAAACGTTTCCAAAATAATATCTGTGGTTAAATTCACATATGAACTCAATACTAATAATAAAATCCTTCCTTGACATATTGATAAACACAAATAATAAAAAATTTACTATTTCGCCATACAAAAAATCTACTAGCATAAATTCATGTACACTTAACTACAAGAGCGAATGCCCATATTACTACAAAATAGCAATTATAAAGAATCTAATACATCGTGCAGAAACTAATTCATCCACAAAACAGATTTTTTACAGTGAACTAAAGAATATAAAACAGACACTTATTAATAATAGCTTTCCAAAATATATAGTTGATGAACAAATAAGATGCTTTTTTAGAAATCCCAATACTAAGCAAAGAGTACATAATACTGCTTCTACTGATCTCAAACATACTAATCTTCTATATCGTAATCAAATGCATACTAATTATAAACAAGATGAAAATATACTAAAAATTTAGTAAATACTAATATATCAACAACAGATCCTACCAAAAAATTAAATTAATTATATACTACACTAAATTTAGTATATCCAACTTAATTATTCGCAATGATTCTTCTCCCCGGTTAGCGATTTGCAAAAAAAACCAACATAGTTTATAAATTAAAGTTCCTTTGGATTTGTATCTCCAACGAATTAAATAATATTTATGTTGGTCACACCACAAACTATATTTCACGACGATTGACACTACATTTGAATGAAAACTCTAACATTTTTAGGCATTTAAAACAACATGCCTGCCCGCACACACAATTCCGTAAAATACTTGTCGAAAACACAATTATCTTCGATATGAAAACAATAGACAAAAACTAAAAATCCTTGAAGTATTATACATCAAACAGTTGAAACCTAACCTAAACAAAATCAACTATGGAATCTCTACGAATATTCTTAAATGTCTATAACTGGTAACAGAAGCCATTGGTTTATACCAATGGCTTCCCATACATCATACTTCTCCAATTCACTCTCGAGTGGTCATGTGTGACGTCATGAGATGCAGTGCGATTTTCGCTTCTAGCGTCTTATATGCACATGTCTATCGTTGCTTAGAAATCATCTATGTAAACAATGACAGACAATCATCACTGTCTTGTCCGTATATTGCTTAATATGTTGTAATTGACATCTTTGATTATGGCTTATGCAAGCCGAATGTTTGATTGTAGTAAAAAAATATGGATCAATATTGTGAATTTCTTTCTTCGTTCAATGATAATGTTATTAAACTTATTAGACTTTATAAAAGAATTTACATAAAATAAATAGACAACACTTGTCTATATTATTTAATGAAACGTGTATATATATATATATATATATATATATATATATATATATATATATATAAACAAGTATTAAATCTAATGAACAAATATTTATATATATATATATGTGTGTGTGTGTGTGTGTGTGTGTGTGTGTGTGTGTGTGTGTGTGTGTGTGTGTGTTTGTATCTGCCGTGCAAAATAGACTACGGGTAGAATCTCCGACTGATGCCAATTCACTCGGGTTTTGATCCCGGCTTCAAGCCATAGGACGTCTACCCACACTGAAGAGCTGTGATACAGCGAAACAGTCTGTCTGTAGATGACAATCTACACACGCAAACGCACACACACGAACACACACACACACACACACACACACACACACATATATATATATATATATATATATATATATATATATATATATATATATATAGAGAAAAATTATTTAAATCATCGTTATGAACGGATACTAGTTTAAAGACGAAGAACAGCAGCAAATACTGTATTTTTTTCATGAGAGAATGCTGTTCTAATTTCTATTTCTATTTCTCCTATCACGTTTGATGTCAAGCCCGTTGTGTTTCTTACTTATTTTCTTTGTAGTCATTTAATTGCTAACTGCATAGATATATAGGCTCAGCATCGATTTATTATGAGAATCACAGCTGCTAGAGTCTTCAGCTACATTTAAATTCACTAACATCATTTTAACTCGATAAGTGAAAAAAAACATGTTGAGTTTAATTGTTCTGCAGTTCTTTGAATGTTGCAATCGTTTTAATATACAAAGACTTCCATGACGAATATCAGCAAAAAATTTCAAAGCTCATGCAAGCATTCAACATCTGGTCGACTTCCAATTGTTAGTAAGACATTCAGTAAACTTTATTAATGTCTTGTCCAAGAGGAATTAAAACATATTTATCAGTAAATATTTTCAGATGCAGTGTATCTCTAGAATAAACAAAACCGATAAAAAAGACAAGAAGAAAAACTATAACCAAAGTTTTTTTTTCTGACAGACTTTATCAAAAATACATTTGCCTTGATAAAGTCCGTCAGATGACGAAACGCGCCGGCTAAGTATATATAGTTTTTTTTTCTCTTGTCTCTTTATTCATATATATATATATATATATATATATATATATATATATATATATATATATATATCCAAGTATACGATTGGTGTATACAGAATAAAGTCCAATAACCAAAAAATGCTATTCTTAAAAAGAGTGGTCAATACAGAGCAGAGCAAATATAATTTTTATTCGAAAATTATAATTTTCGAATATATAATATATATATATATATATATATATATATATATATATAAAAATATATTTATATAAGATATATATATATATTACTTTCAACTCAATTTAATCTTAAAAAATTAAGTTTTCAGAAATTTTGCATGAGATCTCTTATGCATTTTTGAATCATTTTTTTTAATAAATAAAATTTAGTGTGTATCGGATTATTTTTTAAAAATTTTTAAGGACTTTGTTATTTACCTACTTTTCCTATTTTCTATATATTTTCACACACACACACACACACGCACACACACACACACACACACATATATATATATATATATATATATATATATATATATATATATATATACAGAAATTTGCTTTTCTCAAGATTTCTTTTTCTGGAATGAATATGTTTTTTGTTGTATACCTACTTTTGCATTACCTTATGTAACACAAAGAAACCACACACACAAATATATATAAAATATATATATAACCTTTTCTTCTTCTTTTTCAAGTGAATGAATATGTTTTAAAAGAGCTCCTTACGATTAAAACAAGGTTTTACGATTACAAAGGCGGATATGCAATGAAATTGGCCCTGATCTGGCATCTCGTCAGCAGCCGCTCTCTCGCAGACATGCCGTTACCTCCCTGTCTTTTTTACAAATACTTTCCAGGTAACTGCTCCGATGTGCTGACTTCGCTTGTTCTCAGACTTCATGAATTTAAGCTGGCATCTCGCTCTCAACCTTTCACTGTCGAAACTCGTAAATGTTACCGTCTCTTCTACTCCAATAGCTTCATGTCTCACATTTCTCGCTTGTTGAACTCCCTCCCCAGTTCTAGTTTTCCTGATAGCTATAATCTCCAACTATTCAAATGTAATGTCAACGACGTCTGCAGATGCCCTGATCTATCCCCTATCCTTCTCTTCATCCTTTCCTCTATCACTCCTCTTTGATCTCGCCCCAACTCTCTGTAAACCCTTGCGTCCTAGTGGCTTCCCATCTTGATTGGGGTGTAATTTGCTTAAAAAAAAAAGAAAGAAGTATGGAACCTAGTGTAACAGCCTTATCCAGTAAGCACCAAAGTCAACTATCGCATTGAAAACATTAAGATAAGCTATCAAATAAAAGTTTTTTTTTTTTTTTTTTTTCAGGATTTTAATCATTGGCATTTATAATAGAAATGAAAACAATATTAAAATTATTTTTGTACTAATACCTAAGTGTTATCTAGCTATGTAAAATGAATTCAGTATAATATTCGAAATTTAATTTGACAGTGGGGGCGTTGACAAAATGTTTGTTCCCAAAGGGGATCCCGGTTGAGAAAAGGTTGGGAAATCCTGATCTAAATCATCGTTATACTAAAAATGACTGATATGACATATCAGAACAAATTATTTTAAATATTTTATGGAAAAAAACCGCAGCCTCTTTACCACAGATTTAACGTTGCAAGTTCATCGAGTCTTCATTCTTAATCTTTTGTTCGACGTAGTGTAAAACATCAACATCTTTATCTATATGAATAAATGAGAATGTTGGAGTGTCGGTGTCCCAGACTTTTTCAAATGTACCCCTAGAGGCCATATCCCAACATATAATACCATTTTGGAATCAATTGCATGAGCAAATTTAAACCAATCCTGTCTGGATCCGGACCGGCAATCCTGAAACTTTGGATTCCCAAATTATAATTACTGCGATTGTTTTCAGCAATTTTTGACGTAATTTTTGCGACGAAATTTTGTACGATAACAATTTTTATAACTTGGAAATAAACTTGGGGATAATCTAAATTAATTGCGTAATCCATCGAAAGACATGCATGAAATAAAAATAATTGTTTGTACAGAATATAAGGACCTATGCACATCAAATTGTCTTTGAATTAAGTAGTGGTAGAAGAATTAGCGTTGAACTTTTAAAAGGTAAGCTTAAATTATACTTAAATGAAGCGAACAATTTTGACTTCTTCTGTAGTTCATTGTTGCTTATCGCGTCTGCGATCAGTATACCTCGCAAAAAGAAATCTCGAAAAGAGGACTAGATTGCAATCAAAAGGGCCAAAGCTGCAATGAGGAAAAAGAAAGTCCCTTGAAAATGAAAAGGAAGTTCAATGTTGAGAATATACAGACTTAGGGACCCAAACTATTAAGTGCCCTCCGCAAGAACTAGCTTAATTACCGCCTGATAGAGCTGCTTTTAATCTAGTTATTAATTACAAGCAATATCTGTTTTAATTCTTCCTGAAGTTTTAAGTTCTCAAGTAATGTGTATTCTATTATTTAGCGTAGCTCATTGTGATTCTGTAACGCCATACTACGAGGCTCTTCGCTAAGACCTACTGGCTTCAATCGCTCGAAGCCATTTTTAATCAGGTGATCTGAGCAAAACAGCTGACTCTGTAGATATTTCTTAACGAGTCTAACGTCATTTATGATGTCCATATGAAAGACCACATTATATTAAAAGCAGGCGTACCGGTGGCAAGTAAACAACGACCCCCTACATCGCCAAAGATTGGGCTGCGATGAAAGTGTTATATCTGTTCACTTTCTGTTAAAGCTATGAATGAAGACTGGTCCCGATTGGTTCCATACCAGAAGCATTACCAGCCTTCTTCAGACAAAAATTTCAAATGACTTATCCAAAAGAACGTAACACAAAAAATATACATAAGCCCGCTTCTTGTAAACGAATCCAATCGACTAGAAATATTTTTACATTTCATCTCCGGGGAAATGACGAGAAGCCGTGTCGCAGAAATGTTTATGCTAAAATATCCCGTTTTCCTAAAAATTCAATTATAAAAAATTCAGATATCTAATATGTGATAGATAGATAGATAGATAGATAGATAGATAGATAGATAGATATGAACAGGCTGAAGCAGATAGATAGATAAATTTATTTATGATATGAACATGGATCTGAAGCAGATAGATAGATAGATAGATCGAGATATGAACTGACAGGCTGCCATCTTTTTCCCCCCTTCCTCCAGATAGATAGATAGATAGATATGAACAGGCTGAAGTAGATAGATAGATAGATAGATAGATAGATAGATAGATAGATAGATAGATAGATAGATAGATAGATAAAAAATATTAAGGCACAACGATAATTGATTATATAAATTTATTTATGACCATTGTGGATAATAAATCTCACACGAATTTGAATGCAGAGGAATCAGATACAAAAACAAAAAAAAAAAGACGAAGTTCGAATTCTGGTCGAATTGAATACAGGAAGCTGAGGAGAACAATGATCGCCCGTGACTTGCGTGCTAATACAAGGTATGAATCCATCTTTTCTCCTTCCTCCAGAGCAGACTATGTTAAATAGCGTTTTCCGGCTGCCGGTTCTAATGACTGAAAAAAAAACTGAATTTTCAAACGAGCCTGGAAAAATTTATTGAGCAAGGGAACTCGAATGTTTAATCCGAATGTAGTGCTTTCAACATTTGTACTATCTGGTATTATCTGGCATCTCTTTTCTCTCCCCAGACGTCACACACTTGTGTCCTCTGGGATTGTAGTAGTAGGAAGAGAGGGTTGCTGCGGCTCATCGCAAACCATTGCAACCACACCAACCTGAGCAAGGCACCTATTTGTGCTGGGTTGGATATTCATCGATTCTCGATTGACTCCTTTTTTTTGAAGGGGGGGGGGAACTACTATATTCAAATGTATCTAGAAATAAGATATTGAAAATTTTTATTCAATACACACCAGGGAAATCATTGAATGCAGAGGAAGCAAAGTAGAGGAACAAAAACAAAGACGAAGAAGTGGCGAAATTGTAAAGAAATAAGCATGACTAAGAATAAATGAATACAGGAAGCTGAGGAGAACAATGATCGTCCGTAGAGGGAGACTAATATTGAAGAAGTTTAGTTAGATACGGTATAACGATAGATAAAAACTCATGCGTAAGAAGGGTATATGCTCGCATAATATTGGGAATAAATAGATATACTTATTTCCAAGGAAAGTTCAAGATCAATATTTAAAACCATTTTCTTACTTATGTAAAAATGCAAATGTATTCCAAAATATATTTATGTTTTACGAATATTTAGCTTTTCTCCCTCTCTTCATTGTTAAGATATATTCGATAATGTACTGAAGAAAAAATCGTAGCCCAAACACATCTTTCTAAGAAATTTAAACAAAACATCAATCTCGCATTAAATTATTTATTGAGACAGAAGCGAGAACCAAACATATAGTGGTTTACCCTGTCATCCGAATGTAGTGCTTTCAACATTTTGTAAGCTGAAATGGCGTAAAGCGAAGGAATTACTTAACTTTAATTTATACGAGAAAAACATTTTAAACGTTCCTGGACCTCGAAATAACTTTCAAATTTGCGCTACCATTGACATTGCCGTCATGACTGCAGAAATGTATGACTTGAATTTTGAAATGTGTTTTGCCAGTATGGAAAAATTTTATGCAGGTTTCGGTCCCTAGCAAGAGCTGCGTAAAAGAAAAAATATATGAGGCTAAACAGTAAAACTAGTGTAACCGGGATATAAGAGACCCGGATATAAGAGAGATTTTATCTGGTCCCTAATTAGAGCCTGTGTTAATGTATATAAAATAGACCAAACCCGGATATAAGAGAAACCTCGATATAAGAGACTTCTTCTCCGGTCCCCACAACTCTCTTATATCCGGGTTACACTCTATATCATTTATTATTATTATCATTATTTACTTAAATCTGAGATAAATGTGGAAATATAGAGGTGTTGTTATGTTGTCTTTGTTCAAAATAAACGAGAATTCGGAAGGCCGTAGCTAGAGAGAGTATCGAAGGGAAAGAGTTTTATTCAATACTCAGGCCAGAATAACTCGAGTAAATCAGATACTCCACAAATACATGTTAACAAACTGAGGTCTTTGGAAACAACGCGTCGCGGGTGGACATCAGCTGGACAAAAATACAAAAAAAATCATCGGTTCTGAAAGATATGGGTAAGGATGGGATAGTTGGTTGCGATGTGTATAAGTAAAAAATGAGAAAATTTGCTATACCTTGATAGATAGATAGTCACAAACAGATGAAACCACAGGATGGAGAGACGCATCTATGGCAGGTCGCCGAAGGGAAGACCAAGGCAACAGTGGAAGGTCAAAACAGTTGCCCTATTGTGATAAGGAAAAAAAAAGTCTTTCCTTCCTTTCCTTCTTTTTACGAGTACTGGATTTTTCAAAAACTCCATGGCCCCAGGTTCTCAGCAATGAGGCTAGAAAAAAAAGGTATAAGAATTAAAAGCAACATAAAGTTTCTTTTGTTTCCATATTAATCCTTCAAAAACTTTATCATATAATCCATACTCATGCGTACATAGAAGCACGTGTATATGATTCGGCGAAAGTTTGATCATCTGTATAGATAAATAGATATTACTTTTCCAAGTGAAAGTTCAAGATGAAAATCGATATTATATCTATTTCAGGCTACACACTTATTGATCCACACTCTTACTTATGTATTGGTAAATTTGCTAAATGCATATGTAAAATTATACTCACAAATATATTTATGTATTTACGTATATATTTAGCTTTCTCTTACACACTGTCTGTTTCCCTCTCTTCACACGCGAACACACACATATATATATTTATATATATAAGCTATGATATATTTATAGGTAGAAGTGCTCAATATCTATTGTATATATATATGTTTCATACAAAGGTAATAATCAGTCGGAACGATTTTGCCATTGAACACTCACTTTATTTTATATTTTAAACTTTTAGCATATTTTAAAAACTTTAGCATTTATTCTGTATATATATATATATATATATATATATATATATATATATATATATATATATATATATATATATATATATATATATTAAAAAACACGTTAATGCACAGTAACTGACCACTACTATCAGTTTCATGTGTTTGCACACAATGACCAGGTAGCCAGTGTGATATTTAGCTACCCCCCACGAGGGTTACCTATGGCACAAGGCCGGGTTTAACGTGGGATCTCCGAAAATATATTCACTCAAAAATATTCACTCTTTGAACCCGCATAAACCGGTTCAGGGCAGAACCAACAGTCAACCACCCATCAACGAGATTCTGCCCTTCAATGCAAATGTGCAAACGGCGCCTGGTCCGCTAGGTTCCTCTTCCCAGTCAAAATTTGCAGAGTCGTGGAGAAGCTACCGGCAGACTGTTAGCCAAGGAAAACCCGAAACCAAAAGTTATGACCAGGTAGCCAATGTGGCTGTGGTAGTAAGCTGAGTAACTTATATATCACCGGGCGAGTTCAATTTGACATACAAACCAAACTCGCCCGGTGGGGCAGGTAAATCATCCAGCTAAGATTTTAAATGACCCAAAAAAAAAAAAAAAAAGTTGGAAAGTTTTGCCAGTATGGAAAAAAATGCTTAGTAACAGATGAAACTTTTGATATGGTCAAGGAGCTGAAGCCATAAGCCCGTAAAAGTGCCAAAGATGACCGAACAACGAAATTCACATTAGATCATATATAAATCAAGGAAATACCGAGCATCTCTAAAAAGAAGTCTGCTAAAAAAGTAACCTACCGTCGTAGGACAGCTGATTTTTTCCTGGATATATATATATATATATATATATATATATATATATATATATATATATATATATATATATATATAAAGCTTGGATTGATGTCAGTTTGTGACTCTGTGTTTCACGGTTCTTGACAATTGAATTCAGGCAAACTGATTCATTTTTTAAATGTTTGGATTTATTTATGGTAGTGGAAGGAAAAAATTGCCGTCGGAACAGACATTCTTGTATACACGCACGTTCGTGCAGACATAAACATATATAAACAAAATGGGATTGGGCGTATATGCACATACATGTGTCATTGCGTGCGTAAGAACTCCAAATCGTACTATCAATTGGTCGCCGCATTCAATGTATTCAGTTTTGTTATATTCATCTCTTCAGACCGAATATCTTTAAGAAATGTAATATATGCGCGCGTCTGCATATTGAGATATATATATATATATATATATATATATATATATATATATATATATATAGATAGATAGATAGATAGATAGATAGATAGAATAACACAGCAAAGAGATTGTGTGCACCAGAAATAAATAAAATAACCAATGCTATTAGCCTATCCTGTGAGATATCAGAGAATATTCTGCAAAATGAACTTGACATGACTAAGATATTTGCTCGATGGGTTCAGCGTCCCCTGACGTCTGACCAAAAACCCCACAGGCTGATCACATCACGGGAAAATCTTACATTACTTGAAACAGATTCAACGTTTTCTAACCCAAGATAAGTGCTGTGTTTATCACTTTAATCCAGAGAGAACGTGACATTCCACGCAGAGGAATCATCCATCGTCATCTGCTTCAAAGTAAGCCAAGGGAAGGTGATGGCCTCAGTTTTTGGGAATCAAACAGGCATTCTGTTTATGGACTATCTTCAAAAGGACTACAGGGAAAAAATGTAATTATTAATAAGAAGCGATAAAATTAATGCTTGCAAATTTCACAACTCTAGCATCACACCTACATAGTCAGGCTATGAAATTTTCAGCCTACCCTGATAGATAGATAGATAGATAGATAGATAGATAGATAGATAGATAGATAGATAGATGTGTATAGAGAGATGATGCATAAAATGAGATATGAAATTTTCAGCCTACCCTGATAGATAGATAGATAGACAGACAGACAGATAGATAGAACTGTATAGAATCAGATACAAGATCTATATAGAATCAGATAGATCTGTATAAAATGAGATAGTTAGGATGAAAGTTTGTTTGTTTGTTTAAAACTTAACGACCCATCGATCAGCAAGAGATTATTTAAGGTCAAACAGTTGTTTTTTTTTTTTTTTCTTCTTTTTCTTTAAATAAGGTTGAAATGCTTTCAAAATGTCTTTCCTTTTCCTTTCCTTCTTTTTCGATGTTGTCTTAAAAAAGCTTTTTTGACTGAAAATTCAGTTTTCAGAGCGACTGCGTTGTTCTTTGAAAATTTCTCACCTGGCAAGTATCAAAGTGTCCCCCTTTCATCATCAGACACCAAATTGTGATTATATTTTATTATATAGTCCAACTTTCCCGGACGGAAGAAAGGTCAAAGATCAAATTGGGGTTTGATTTTCGAAAAAGTTCTTTCAAGTTGTTCACGTTGTAAAATAATTTTCGAATATGTGCCATGTCACCGCAATCAAGCAGGAAGTGCTTCATTTTCAGTATAAATGGCCTCCTGGCATGCTACACCCCTCGTGGGTGGATGACATTCAGGAGGATCTTTGTCTTTTAATAGGAACGCCGAAGTGAGTTATGTGGTTCAAATGGGCTATTTTTGCTGAGCCTGTGCCCTATGCGAATACTCGCCGATTTTAATGGGATAAGACACTCAACGACACTTCTTCTTGCATGATTGTCTGTGTTCAATTAGTTGTTTCTTTAGAGAGGGTTTGATTTTTAAATAATTTGTTGTTTTGACATTGTTCCAAGCGTCTTGCCATTTCTTCAAAATAAAAGTCATTTATTAGGGGTTTATAGTCAGTGTATGGAACCTTTATGTTACTTGTGTTAAGTTTCAGAGACGACATTTGCAGCCACATCAGCTTTTTCATTTCCATGAAAACCAGAATGGCTGGGAATCTAACAGAAAATGATGGTTTTATTTTTTGAGATCGCATGTATTCTATGTAGGAGTTTGATGAGCAAAGGATTGTTTAATTTTTGGTTTTTTAATGATTCGAGTACTGATAATGAGTCTGCAAAAATAATGAATTTATTTGAGTTGAGTTTAGTGATGAGGTCTAGAGCTAAATCAATGGCTAGGCAAAGATAGGATGAAAGATAAATAGATAAATAGATTTCTATAAAATCAGATAGATAGACAGATAGCTATGTATAGAATGAGACAGAACTGTATAAAATGAGATAGATAGAATGAAAGATAAATAGAGAGAGATAGAGAGATTTGTATAAAATCAGATAGACATATAGCTATACATAGAATGAGACAGAATTGTATAAAATGAGACAGATAGATAAATAAATAGATAGGTCGATCGATCAAACTTCATGTTTGTCCTTCGAGTTCGAAAAACTATATTTTACAATTCATCACTGGATCCTGAGGTGCTGCAACAAACCAGGCCTGGGCACACAGTATATGGAGTAGCTGATTTTGATTGATTGATTTATTGAATTGTCTTTTACGGCTTATCAACACTCTTTCGGTTATTTGAAGTCGAAACATTGTAGTAGGTTACTTACAGTAACCGATGTTCTCAACCAGTCCCGCATGTACCCACCGGGCTAGACATTCTTAACTTCGGTAACGAGAACCGGTATTTTCTACGTGATTTGACCGTAGGCCTGATGCGGTGGAGAAAATGAAAGTCGTTAGTTATGAAAAATGCCAAAACTGTACGGAGACTAAATATAAAACTTTGATATATTTATGATATTTAACATATATATATATATATATATATATATATATATATATATATATATATATATATATATATATACTGATAAGAATAACGATGTATGTGGGAAAAATAGTAAAAACGAAAAAAAATCAGCTGTATAATGCTTTTTGTATCTGCATGTAAAAATAAATGCGAATCATTTTAGACAAAGTTTGGAAGAAAAAAAATGAACGCAATTTTCCATTGTTGCTTGAGGAAATGGATTTTAGTGACATGACAACATCCTAATCTGGAGGAAAAATAAACAACAATAAAAAGCGCCACAGCACTGCCCACACTGGAGAAAGGCAATAAAATGACAGGAAAATTCGTAAAAATTTTCTGCCAAAAAAAAGACGGGAAATAAAAACAAAATGTCGCATTGAGGAGCATTTTTTTTTATTTAATTTTTTAGAAGCTCTTTTCACAAAATATTCTGTTAGTTTTCTATGTTCAGTACTCATTTGCTTTCATAATGACACCATCTGGCTGATTATATATTGTTTCCTAAATAACTCTCACGACTTGCTTTAAGATTGAGATATTTCCGTTAATGCCAGAAGTCTGGGTTCAAGTTCATGTAAATCGCTAAAATTTATTGGTAAATATTAAAGTAGTCATTTAAAGAACCAGCATAGTATATTTTTCATTCGTCTACTCCTTAGGTCCCCACCCACCTTGACAAACTAGACTAAATATTTAACTAACTGCTGCTACACAGTCTTACAATCAATATTTCGCTTTTGTTTTTTGTTTTTTACATCGGTAAGTTTTATAAGACTTATGCCGCTATGATAATTCCAGACATTTCTTCTCTGATAATCCTGGCCAGTAATAACTGTAGCTACTTCAGTAAATGGGGTGTGGTCACCTGACAATGGTCTGCGTTTTTTCTTGTCGGTTTGTTGTCGATCTGAACAACAATGCCTCTGATGGTGGGTTTGAAGAGCATGAAACTACCTCTCATTTGCTATTGTTACCAGATCCACACTGACCAGGGGTGGTAGTACCTGTTAGGGTCCCATCCATGGGAAAAATAGTCTTTTGATTTTTGTTTGGTGGTTCACATATACAAAAGTGTATTATGGAAACAATGTATTTATAAAAATTGGCCAATAGGGATACATTTTTATTGCAAAATGGCAATCAATACAGGACTAAAATATAAAAATACATTTTTATAATAAAAAATACCGGAAATGGATCTATCTGCAAATAGATATGCCTCTAAGCAAAAACAACCAAACTAAATATCAGGATCCCTAGATATGATTTTTCATATGCATAATGAAAGCTCTGAACTAAGTCATATGTTTTGTGAATTTGCTCTCAGTGAAACTGCAGTATGTCTTCTTTTGCTCATTGCGTAAAACTGAGTAAAAATACTTCGTTCTGGGGCCTGACGAAAAGATTTCCATTGCCTTTAAATTTTGCAGGTATACTGAAGAATGCATACTTACTGACTCGACAACCACACCATTTCATGTCAATACACACACACACACATATATATATATATATATATATATATATATATATATATATATATATTTATAATATGACAGACATATAGTTTTAAGGTATATTTTATAGTCTCAATATCAAGGATAGAGCGTCTGTAAATATAAAAGCAAACAATAAAAAAACACTATTTTTGGAGCCCAAAATGCTACATTTCAACAAGTTTTCGTAATTTTGCAAATACCAGACTTATTGATCCACTATCTTAATTATGTACTTCTAAAAGCAAACATAAAATTATACTCACAAATGAACTTATGTATTATTTATGTATCATTCTCTCAATATGTCTCTTTCTCTGTCTCTCCGTCTGTCTCACTCTCTCTTTTCACACACACACACACACACAGATATATATATATATATATATATATATATATATAAGCTATGGTATATTTATGGGTAGAAGTGCTCAATATCAGGTATAGGCTGTATGTAAATATGAAAGTAAACACACTAAACATACTATTTTTCGAGCAAAAAACGCTAGATTTCAAGCACTTTTCAGCTGTTTTCGTGACTTTTCATGATTTTAATTTTAGTTACTATAACCTTCTGTAAACTACAAAAACTCAACAGTCTGTTTCATACTCAGACACAGTTTTCATGACTACAGGATTGCGTTTAAGCATAAAACAGACACAAGCCGCCCGTTGTTGATCTCAATATCCACACTATATATCTATGTCATTCACAGAAAGTACTGTTTCGCTGTATCGCAGCTCCTCAGTGCGATTAGACTTCCAAATGCTTCAAGCCAAACCGATTTGGTGTCAATCAGAGTTTTCTACCACTGAGCTATCATCATTCAGCACAGAGAAACAGGTAATTATATATATATATATATATATATATATATATATATATATATATAGACCTTTAATTTTTAAAAAAAATACCCCCTCAAAATATGGGGTCTACTAATACAAAAACGTTACAGAAAGCCTCATGCTCAGAATCATATCAGAGATAGTAATACAAATGCAAAAGTAAAGATATTAGAAGAATCAAGAACATCTACTGGCAGCAAACAGTCTGCATACGGATGAGAATGATTTCATTTGATATACAAAAATAGAAAGTGGCATAAGGAAAGAATGTGTCTTCTCACCGGACTTATTCAACCTATACAGCCAGGTAATTATGAGAGAAATGCAAATCCTACCGGCCACAATCTTAAGAACATAAGATAGGCAGATGACACAGTGTAGATAGCAGACAAGGAAAGGAAATTACAAAACCTCATACAGAATGTAGCGAAGTGGGGCGGCTAGAAGTGACTAAGCATAAACTGCAAGAGGACAGAAAGAATGGTCATCAGTAAAAACATAAGCTCGAAATGCGATTTACAGGTCGGGGACACTAAAATCAAGCAGGTATAGAAATCTAAATATCTGTGAAGTGTTCTGAAAGAGGACGGTAAGTGCAACGCTGAGATTCGAACACGTATTGGGATGGCCAAAGACACATTCCAAAAGCTAGGCGGAGTATTACGAGACAGAAGGATTTCGTTGGTAACAAAGAAAACATTACTGAACTTCTACGTGATATCTGTCCTCCTTTAAGACAGCGAATGTTGGACGGTCACCTCAAAGATGATAAAGAGACTCGAGGTAACGGAGGTATGGTTCTACAGAAGGATAACATGAACCGAGCATGCGAGCAACGATGAGGTTTTGGAGAGGATGCAAACAAAAAGGAAGCTTATACTTGAAATCAGGAAGA